ATATATATATATATATATATATATATATATATATATATATATATATATATATCCAGTATTCTAAAAGACTTCTAGTTAATAAACCATTACAAAATTACTAAAAAGAAGCAAATAACAATAAAATATAAACAAACAAAATAACTTATTATTGACAAAGGGTTGAGTTCCGTGAGAAAAAAAATTATAATGAAAAGCATAAGAAGAGATGTCAACTCTTGAATCAATTTTAATTGAATGTCAACACTAATAAAGTGTAACGAATCAATTATCTTCTAAAATATGATTCATAGATGAACATAAGATTAAAAAAATCAAGGGTTCAGATCTACTCATAACTTTTCTTTCGTTTTTCAATCGGAAAATAATAAATAGATTTTTTTTTGTTTTTGCAAAAATACGTAAATGAGAGGATTGAGGATGCGTGGGTTGGTAAAAGGTTGTAGGCGTGTAGTTATGTCAGTGACCCTATAACAAAAATATTATTTAATTAATGGTACTAAATCCAAATAACACATTGAATTTTTATGGGAAAAGTTGTTAAAAATATTTAAAATTTAGTTGGAATTTGTGATTATTATTAAAAAAGAGAGTAGGAAAAGTTGTTATAGAATATATATATATATCTCAATCAGAAGTCATTTCATTAGAGTTTAATAATTTCTTCCATAGCTTATCTGTTCGTGTTTAGTCGTATAGTAGTTGCTTCCATACTTTTTATCAGTTTTGTTTTTATGTCATTTATCGTTATTTAACTTCAAATTTTTTGCTTTGCATTGTATTAAAGTGACAATTATAAGCAACGAGATGATATCACGAGAATGAAACATTCCTTAAATATTGAAATGTGGTGAGTTTGGTTGTCCCAAATTAGTAAGAAGATGTGATGATATATTGACAAGAGAAAAAATGATTCTTTCAGTTAACTTTAATTTTATGAGAACTTTTTTGGAAGAAAAAGATCTCCAAACTCTTTGTAACATTAATAGTGATACGGATATCGGTTTGAGTTCTAAATAGCATTAAAACAAAATTATTATCAATGTATCTCAAACTTATTTTGTTAAAGGTGTATCTGGAACTCTTTGTAACCCCAAATAATTATCAATATATGCAAATTAACCACTTAAAGAAATATATTCATTGTTATCGAATTATTGTGATGCGATGAGTTGCGGAAAGGGAGGTTATCGCATTATTCTGATGCGATGAGTTGGTTTATAGCATCCTTAAGGTACGACAAAGGTGTTTATCGCGTCAATATGATGCGACAAAGGGGTGATTATCGCATGTTCCTGATGCAATGAGTTGGGTATATCGCATCAGTTAGATGCGACAAGATGGGTTTATCGCATTAGTTGGATGCGACAAAATGTGCCCACATATATGTTTGATGAGACAAATTGGTGTTTCATGAGATAAAGTGTTTGTAACGTTGTTCAATACGATAAGATGATGTTATCTCATCAATATGATGCGACAAAAATGTTTGTTTCAATAAAACAATGTTTATTTGTTACAAAATACAATTATGGTTTTCAAATAATGTTTTGATGATTTTCACCCTGTAATAATATTCAAAATAGATTACTTAATACTTCCACAATTTACAGAATAATCAAAAGATCCAAATCCGAAGATTAATTAAGTCGTTAAGTAAGATTAATTAAATAAAGAAGACAAAAAACTTACAAGTGCATGTGATTTTTCTGAATTTGGATTAAACAAGTGAAAACAATGATCTTCATCTTCAGTTTCCATAATCTGCAACTGCCCTCCCCACCCACTCTTCTTCAATGCTTCATAATAACTCCATCCTCTATCTCTCAGATGATCTTTTCCGGCGGTACACACCACCACCTTCTCACACACCATCTTTGCCATCAATCCCGGATCCGCTGCCGGGTTCATTCTTGGATCATTCAACCCGTTTGTACCTGGGCAAAGGTACTTCCACAGTTTATCCTCTTCATCGAAAGAGAAAAACGGATGAATCAAAGCTATCCCCACAATCTTCAATCCCGATCCAATCCCGTTTTCGCTGAACTGAACCATGATGTTATGTGCGATGTTGGCTCCGGCACTATCGCCGGCCAAAAAGACCCGACTCAGATCCGCATGGTTTCTGATCCATGGGTCGGGTGTATTCGCAATCCATTTCAAGGTCTCCCAACAGTCATCGTAGCAAGCTGGGATTGGGTGTTCTGGGGCTAGTCTGTACTCGATGGAGACGGCGGCGATATTGGCGGCAGCGGTGAGGGAATTAAGGTGGTTATGATAGAGGGTGGAGAAGGCGGATTCGATGGCGAAAGCACCGCCGTGGATGTAGATCAGGAGCGGGAGTTTGGTGTTTGTGGTTCTGGGGAGGTAGAGACGCGCGGCGATTTTAGGGTCGGCAGAGACGACGACGTCCTTGGATCGGACGGTGGTTTGGGGATCGTCGGAGGGAGGCACGATGGGGGTGGTGGTCATTTTGTGGACGCGACCGTCTTTGTAGACACGGAGAATAGGATGGAAGTCATGGAGTATCTCATCTTGGGTAGATTCCATTGCCGGAAACCAGAAAAGCGTCGGAGGAGGATGATGAAGAAGATTGGAGCAAGGGCCTACCGCAATTTAGAAGGGAAATATAAGTTGGTGGGTATGGGTGGGATGGAGGGATGGATTATTTCACCGCATCCTTCTTTCTAGATGATAAGGATGGTTGCTGTAGTTGTAAAATGCAAGAAAATTTTTTTTTTTTAACTTATTTCAGTCTGGTATCGGAGATAAGTTGTTTTAGAGTGTTTGGATAAAAAAAAACTGCTTATACCAGTGTCAAACCGGTAATAAACAGTTTTTGATACGTTAATTTATCATGACTTATGAAAAACAACTTATCACCGATTTACCATTCTAACCATGTTTAATTTATCCAACATCAGATACGTCTCATCAATATCCCTTCCTCCTCACACAGAACTTTCATCGATATCCCTTACCCTTCATCGTCCTTATGGTTTTTATTCATCGTCAAGTTTGGTCCCTTTATAAATTAATTACAATTTTGGTCATTATAATTGTTATTTTGTTTCACTTTTGATCCCTCTAACTAATCCTAGTTAAAAAAAAGAGAGAGTAAACTTCACTTTTGGTCGTTAAGATTTAGTGATTTCTTTGAAATAGGGATTTGAACTTCAATAAGTCAAGATGTTGTCCCTCGAATTTGGATTTTACTTTGAAAATGGAATCTGGTCATTAATTTCGTTAAAAAAGACCATTAGAGCCACAGGGTAAAATTGTTCAACCATATGTTGCATCTCTTTTTGTAATTCCTTTTTGCTTTTTCCTTGTTTTTATAAAAACTGTCAAATTTTGGGGACCAACTCCGTAAAATTTGTAAAACCACCTCCTTCCCTATTTTTTTGACAATACACCCATCGATAACTCCATTTTTTCTGCTGATACACACATTGACCACTCCTTCATTTAAACCAAATCGTTGACCACTCTAATATATTTCTTCTCTCATCCACATCGGTTATTTCTAGTCGTGACTCCACATTTCCCTCTCCTACACCAGAAGTGAAGACATCACCGTCATGACTATCATCTCCACCAAAACATAAGTAAAACCAAGGTGAGACATGAGGACCAAATTGTCTGCACCATTCCCTCTTAGTCCACCGGAACCACCCTCTCTCACTCAAATCATAAAGAGACATAGGGACCAAATCATCGGCACCACCCCTTCCCCTCCAAAATCGTAGGTGCACCACCCTCTCCCACTTAAATCATACCTTCTTCCTTTTCTGCTCCCCTCACACTTCTCTCCACCACCATTTTTCTAAATCACCACCCTATCAAAAGGTTTTGATCGATTTGCAAGCTTGAAGGATCACTTGTTTTTGGGACGATGATGGTTTGATTGGTTTGCTTCAGTTCAGTTTTAAGGAGATGGAGAAAATGGGTTGTTCCTTGTTTTTGGCCGGAGATGGGGATCTCATCCCTGTGCACTTTACGAAAATGATGGTCCCTGTGGGATCTTCCCTTTAACATATGGTCTAACGAAGAGGGGAGGGGGAAAAGTCCTAATGGTTTCGTTGAGTCATTGCTATGGTTTTAGGGAGTTTGGCGGTGATGGAGTTTGGCCGATGATGGAGTTTAATCAACGTCCTTGTGGTCATGGAAGATTGTATGTGTGGTCGTGGAAGTTAGCCTCTTATGTGTGGTATATATGCACGCACAATATATATATAGGGACCTAATCAAAGGAGAACTTGTTGATCCTCTCTCTCATTGATTTGATAATAATCACTTTTACTTTATACGATATATTTATGTTTCTGTTTTTCAGTTCCAACGATCATCACTGAGTCTGTTCAGTGATCGCTGAAGAACTTGTAATGTAAATCCAATCAGCGACATCGATACTTCAAGAAGACAAAACTCACACTAAAGAACCTTCAACGAAAGTCGAAGACTGAAACTGAAGAATAGAGATTGGCGAGTACGTGATCTGAAGCGGTATTCAGTTATTACAACCTGGTCTATATATGTATGAAGACTGCCCAAGCCTCAGCGAATGCTGAAGAGACCTTCAGGTTATTCCAACATTCAGCGATCAAAAGAAGCTTGTTGAGCACGATTGTTTTTGTCTTGTCCTTATACACACAAAGGACAATCCCATACCCTTTCTAAAGTATAGTACGATATGGAGTCGATTAGTTGACTCTACTACCCACCAACTTTATGAAATGATGTCTGCTCATGAATAGGCTTTTGTACTATTCATTGTAGCAAATGACAAGTCCTTCTCTAAAGGCTTGACACGTGATTAAACCTACCATGTTACATTAAATGTGCATTTAATGCAATGAGTATAAATAGATGTGTTCTATCTCCATGCAGAGATACTCTACTCTCTTAACTTACTTTTGAACCCTAACTCTCATTCATAAGTAAAAGAACACATATCTAAGAACACAAGACGCTCATCTTCAAGAGCAAGTTAGAATCCCTTTATTGTATTCTAAATAGTTCTCTCCCAGATATAACTTACTTTCTTCTAAGTCTTTTACAACAAATCTTTTCTTTATTTGCTAAGAACTAGTGTGTAACTTTAGATTGTTTAGATAAGTTTTATTTACCTTATCTTTCCGCAAACAATTTTGTAAATGAAGAGAGAGTTAGGAGATGAGTTAATGAGAATAAACCTTAAAAAAGGGGTTTTAAATCGATCTAGAGGTTTCCCGCGACCTTGCACGTGACTCAAGTCGCAACACTGGTCACCTGTGATAATCTCCAAACTCTCCCCCGGCTTCTCCCACGGTCTAGGCCGCGTGCCTAGTCGTGGGACCTTCTACTTCCCAAATTCAAAACCTCAGTGAACTGCACGACTTAGCCGCAACTTGGGCCACGGGCTAGGTCGTGGCAGCCACTGTTTGACTTGGTTTGGTCTTTTACTTGCCTTTTCTTGTATGATTCCTTACTAATACATTAAGCCGCATAAACCACCATTAAATAGATGATTCTAAGGCCAAAACTAACATTTAAATACAACACAAAGGTATATAAAAATTCAGGTATTACATATTTGTTGTTTCATAACCTTTTAAATGTATAAAATAAAAAGATTATAAACAAGAAATCCATTTATTTATTATAGTAATTATACTAATTATAAATGATATATTATATAATTTTTACACATTAAATTTTAATCTTGAAAAATATTATAAAAGAGTAATTTGTATTATAGTTGTTTTAATCTAATTTAGAGACTGCATTCCGTAAATCAGATATAAACATTTCAATTTATGTCAACCGAACGTGTAATTGAATTTTACTTCACTTCTTTTAAGGTCAAACTAATTCAACAAATTCCATTACTTAAAAAAACATTATACAAACCAAAAGTCCATTAATTTTAGTGACTTTTGCTGATGGAATAATAAAAATCATTTATCTCATCATTTTAAAAAAGTTTTCTAAATTTACACAATTTCACTATCTATCTCTTACTTTCTTCAAAGTTTTGAAGAATTTGTAAGAATAAAAATTAACATAAAAATCTGTATTTTTTATTTTAGAAAATCTATTGAACTTTTTTTAAAATTACAACATTATTTTCATTAAAACTGAATATATTTTACGTCGTACTTTATTTGAAGTTTCATTTTTATGTTTATGAAAAAAAAAAAAAAAGTTTGTAATATCTCAAATCTTTAATACCTTGATATGCTATAAATATCACTTTAAGATCAAATTGTTAGATTTACGATGGAAATAAAAATCATAAATTGTCGAAAGTAAATCAATATCAATATATTTATTTGTGCCGGTGAAAACCTCCATAACTTCGTCATTGTTGATATATATATATATATATATATATATATATATATATATATATATATATATATATGGCGAAGATCAAATGTTAACCATCATTTTTGTGTTAACCTTATTAATTGATCTTAGTCATTCAAATCTATAATCAATAGTTAAGTTAATCAATAAAAAAATCAAATTTTAAAGTTTGAATTTTAATGAGGCTTAGTGAACAATGATGAAAGAGGCATTTTAGGAAGAAAAAATACACTTATCAAGGGTATTCTATTAAATTGAATTAATTTGTAACCCCCAAACAATTAATGGGAAGTTACAAACAATCAAATCCCAAAAAAATGCATTCATATTATTATTATTATTATTATTATTATTATTATTATTATTTTTACTATTGATCTTTCATGTTCATTCTTGTATGAATTCCTAAATCGCATAAGAAACACGGTAGTAACAATTTTCGGTATTGATCAATTTGAACACAAATGAACTGTGAACACAATTTGAACAAAAATGAACAACCGTGAACACAAATGAACCGTGAACACGATATAAACACGATATGTGCAATTTTTGGCCCATATATTCACATACATAGACGTCCCACAAAATTAAGGTAGCATCTGTTAATTTGTGTTCATCTGTTAATTTGTTCAAATTGTGTTCACGGTTCATTTGTGTTCATCTGTTAATTTGTTCAAATTGTGTTCATGGTTCATTTGTGTTCAAATTGTGTTCATGGTTGTTCATTTGTGTTCAAATTGTGTTCATGGTTGTTCATTTGTGTTCAAATTGTGTTCACGGTTCATTTGTGTTCAAATTGTGTTCACGGTTGTTCATTTATGTTCAAATTGTGTTCACGGTTCATTTGTGTTCAAATTGATCAATACCGAAAATCGTTACTACCGTGTTTCTTATGCGATTTAGAAATTTATACAAGAATGGACATGGAAGATCAATAATAAAAAATTAATAATATGAATGCATATTTTTTGGGATTTGATTGTTTATAACTCCCCATTAATTGTTTGGGGGTTACAAATGAATTCAATTTACTACAATACCCTTGTAAGGGTCAAATGAACAAGACATAAACCTATAAGAATAATGGAATTTGATTGGTTGAGAGGGTTTTCAAAGTTAACACAAAAATGATGGTTAACATTTGATCTTCCCTATATATAGGAGCTGGTTCAAATAGAAACCAACCATATGGTACAAACTATGTGAACCGATCTTGATCGTTCATTTTATCATCAAACGGTTATTATTAAATGAGATT